GAAGGACAAGATGAAACTAGTTTTGGGCGACTGTCCTGATATGCCGGATCTTAAGGAGGTCGTGGCAACCTTCCAACGCGACTTCCCCTACCAACAGGAGCAGTTAGCCAGTATTGGGATCCTCAATCCCATGTATCGGGGCCGAGTTTCTCAGTCAACCACACGGAGTACCGACGAATCATCATCCCTGAGAATGCGATCACGTCCGTCTGAGAGTGATTCGCGTGCTCGAGGTCACTCAATCAGTGGTGAACAGGCCCCAAGCTTTCCTACACCCGAGTTCACAAAACGCCACAGCGGTTCGTATACTGCGTCGCCTACAGGTGTCACTGCTGGGAGCATCCCTAGTCCACATCAGTATTATTATCGTGACTATTATTCGGGTATCGGGAACCACCAGCAGGGCACTGCATCTCCTCTCTCCCCAGATCTTCCCGGTAGCACGCGATCATTCGCCGCCTCTACGAGACCCAGTACAGGCAGAAGTTTTGACTCTGGAGGACTTCCTCGACAGAGCTCAGACTCAGCTACACAACAGCTCCGAGACTCGCATACAACCTACAGTTCCCAGAATCAATCTCAAGAGGGCAGACGGTTTTCGGGGCTTTTCCACTCAGCTTTGCCACCAGCTGATGGACCTGAGGATAGTGCTCGATCGTCTCGGGCGTCTTCAAGGGAGCGAGGACCTACAGACGACGGGTATAATGTGCTTTGGCTAGCGGCTTCCCTCTTTGAGTTCAATATTGCAACGACAAAACACGAAGCTGGTTATCCGTACTTGGTATATCAGGCCGGCGAAGTAAGTCGACTCACTCCACAAATGGCCTTGGTTTTGGGAGCTAACCACCAGTCTAGATCTTCGACGTCCTTGGTGAGAAAGGAGAGCTCTGGTTAGCAAAGAACCAGGATGATCCAGACGATCGCGTTGGGTGGATTTGGTCAAAGCACTTTGCCAGGCTCGCTGATTCATAACCACGGCCCATGACTGACCGAAACTTCAGCAGGCAGGGCCAAGCCAGACTGCTATCTTACCAACTACGCAACACATCCAAGATTTATACTAGGATTCAAGGGAGGAGCTTGGGCGTTTATTACACGGACATTCCGATTTGGAACTGCAGCAGATTCACCCGGTTCTAAAACGCATCCATGTTGATCCACATTTTTTATATTTGTGTTCTATGAGTTTCCTCGCCTTTTATTCGACCTTGAGCTCCTATTTATGCTGAATGAGCTGTTCGACAATGCGTCGTTTCCTTCAGTTTTCATTTGTTTGTTTGGGCTTGTATTTGGGTAAAAGCCTTCAGTGTCCTATACGCGAAAGCAGAAAATATGGGATGAAAGAAAGGCGTGGTTGGGGCCTTGACTTTTAAAGCAGGGGAGCCAGGCGTTCAGAGCAAAATACCAACATATGTAAGATTTCAGGTGTGAATAACGAGGGATGAGCCCGAAAGCAACTTAGGCGGGTAGTGTTTGCTTGGCCATGAAGTTCGGTTGCATCTTGTAGCAGTGGAGGAAATGTAACGAATTGTATTGACTACCTAAGGTATGGAATGAGATACCAGTGGCCCAAGCATGATGAAGCTTAAAGTATTCAACTTGGTTACGTGGATCATTATGTGCGGTCTTGTATAGTTATCTTGGTGGCAATATCTTTGTACGGTGTCTTTTGGCACTCTTATTGGGCCTAAGAATCATTATTTGGTTGTTGCCGACTAACACATGGCTAACATTTGATGTTTATCATAGCTCATATACCAAACGGTAGATGATGATTCTGACATGTGACTTGGAACTCATACCCCCAGACTGGAACGTTAGGAAAGTGGAACTGCGGTAAACAGACGGATCCCCCGCCCTTGCAGGAGAAAGGGGGCGGGGGTAGCATACTACCGCTCACAGCGTTAGAGCAATACCTAGGTACCTTAGTTGGTAGGTACCTCTTTAGTACCTTTCGTAGTGCTAATCAATCTTGGCTGCTTTGTTGCTACCAACCATCAGCTGCAAGTCTGGCATCTACTTTGCCCTCCTACATTACTCGACAGCTTTGCCAAGTCTTTCGCTTCAATTTACCCTCTGGCAGAGCAAGAAGCTTCGCGAAAAGGTACTGTTCACTCTTTCGAGGTTGCCCCGTTTCATGACCCACACCACACGATATGCCCGCGACAAGCTCGCCGGAAGAGCAGGCGGTCGATCGCGAGTACCCGCAGCGGCATCGTCATCATCTTCATCAGGAACTTGGACCGTTGCAGCATAACCACAACGTGGCTGAATTCCAGTCTCGGCTTCATTATCAACAGAATCAAAGCTCACGGTCAACTTTACAGCATCAAACTTCTCAACAAGATTTACGTCATTCGTATCCCCAGTCTAATACTCACCTCGCTGTCCCGAGTGTATCTGCTGCAGGCTCGACATCCCGCTCGTCTTCAATTTCTCCTGTTCCAACACCGTCGATATCTCCCCCAGCTTCTGCCGTATCTACTGACGCTCTGCATTCACCCCGTGATTATTCTCCGCCAGTACCAACTCCCTCTTCGACCGGTACCGAGGTTTACTACAGCCATCCGCAGCGAGACTCATACGATCGTAATAGCTCGGGTAGACACAGCCAGGATAACAATAGCCTTGAATCTCAAGGGCGCAATCCGGCCAACATGGCCAGCTGGTCAGGACAGCCCGCTATCAGAGGCAACTCTGAGGCTGTGCGCATGATTCTATTGAATTTCGTCACTATTGGCATAACGTACGTTTACTTGCCCTGCGAGCTGCGGCAACAGTAATCCAATTTGAGCTGGCTTTTTAACATTGGTGCATCTAGTTTCACGTGGGGTATCGAAATGACATGTAAGTCTACAAATTCACCATCCCCTGGCGTACCTTGCTGAAGAGTGTTTAGACTGCACGCCATATCTTCTTAATCTTGGTTTAACCAAAAGCAACACATCTCTAGTATGGATTGCTGGTCCGTTGTCCGGTCTTATAGTTCAACCTGTTGTCGGCGTCATTGCGGATGAGAGTAAGTCCAAATGGGGACGTCGTCGACCGTTGATGGTGGTTGGCTCCGTTATTGTTGCTATAAGCCTCCTAATATTAGGCTTTACACATGAGATTGTCGGTTTCGTAGTGGCCGATAATGAGGCTGCCAAGCGGCCTACGATAGTATTGGCTGTATTGGCCATCTATGTTGTTGATTTCGCTATTAATGCTGGTATGGTGCCATGAACGTCTCTCTAACTCCGCCAAAACTAACGACTTTTCCAGTCATGTCATGCTCCAAGAGTCTCATTGTTGATACGTTACCAATCGACAAACAGCAGACGGGGGCGGCTTGGTGTAAGTTTACGCCACTGTTTTGATGTGAGCCGAATTAACGTTGTTTGTAGCAAGTCGTATGTCTGCAATTGGTCATATGATTGCGTATGGCGCCGGGGCTGTCGATTTATTGAAGGTTTTCGGAAGCACACTTGGCGATACTCAGTTCAAACAGCTCACGGTCATCTCAACCATTGCTCTCCTGAGTTCAACGTCACTCACTTGCTGGGCCGTTACGGAGCGGGTACTGGTAGCCTCCAAACCAACACAGCATGAGGGTCGCTTCAAAGTCTTTCGCCAAATCTGGTCGACACTTCTAAACCTACCTCCTCGAATTCAAGCCATCTGCTGGGCACAGTTCTGGGCTTGGATCGGGTGGTTCCCTTTTCTTTTCTATAGTACCACATGGGTTGGTGAAACATACTTTCGTTACGACGTGCCCGCCGATGCGAGGAAATCCAAGGATACTCTCGGTACCATTGGGCGCATAGGAAGCACTGCGCTTGTTATTTACTCCGTAATCACATTTGCAGGTGCCTGGATTCTTCCCATGTTTGTCCAGTCTCCTGAGGACAACTCCTTTACCCACCGACCTCCTCAGGCAATCGCAGGCTTCTTGACACGGTTCAACAAGGTGAAGCCTGATCTATTGACTGCTTGGATGCTTGGGCACATAATGTTTGCTGCGTCCATGTCGTTGGCACCATTTGCAACAAGCTTCCGATTTGCGACTGTTCTGGTGTGTCTATGCGGCATGTAAGTCTTGCACCAGTTCTCCGCCCTCCGTATGATGCTAATGCGTGTTTAGACCTTGGACTCTCGCTATGTGGGCACCGAGTGCTTTCCTCGGCGTCGAGGTCAATAAGCTCGGCGGTGGCGCCGGATCAGATGGCGCATATCGTCGCATTTCGGACGGGCCCGACATTGAGCTCTCGGATATCAGCCACGATGATGCACCTTTGCAGCTTGATCACGGTTCAGAGGTTGGCATGCCATCTACGGCTGCTACAGGCGAGTTGTCGGGTATCTACTTCGGCATCCTGAACATTTATACGACGTTGCCACAGTTTGTTGGTACGTTCATATCTACCATCGTGTTCGCGGTCCTCGAGCCTGGAGAGAGTCCCGAGCTCGCGGGTGATGAAAAGAAGCAGCCAGATCCAGATGGTCCGAACGCCATCGCGGTGTGCCTATTCATCGGAGCCATGAGCAGTTTGGTTGCAGCATATGTGACCCGGAAGCTAAAAGTTATGTAAGATAGACAGCTCTACGGAGTTGTCGTGTATTACTTGTGTGTTCTTGCTAATTTTGTTGCAATTCTTCGTTCATGGCTCATCTGACTTTGGGGTTGGATATTGTTTTGGCGTATTGGCGCAGAGGTCATTGCCAGCATAGGCTTGAGACTCATATAGTGAGTCGTAGCTGTATTTGGAGTGCGGTGTGAGTGCAGAGCGTGTCGAAGATCATGATATGCATGGCGTAGAGTTCATAACCATAGTTCGGCTCTAATTGATATCTAAGATAGAAAGATGCGACTACGCTAACCACATACACGCCAGAAATCACAGATGTCACAAGGGGTATCCTCCTCCAGTGTCGTCTCTTTCTCTGAAATCACTGACGCATCCGTACCATCCCCCCTCATAGTCTGAATTGGTGTACCCTGAACCGCGTATACAGTGATTCTATTTGTCCTTCTCATTCTCAGCTTCGGATACCTTCTCCCACTCGTCCTCCGTACTAACACTTGATTGTGTACCCGTAGCCCCAGAACGTTGCTTCACTTCGCCCTTTGACTGAAGAGGCTCGACTCCAGCAGCACCTATAGCAACTTCAGAGGTTGTCACGGCGACGGGAGACGGCTTGCTCGGGACAGTCGTCTCGACCTCCGTCTCGCTGTCTTCGCCATCGTTACCCGACACCTCTTTCTGCTGTTGCTTTTCTTTCTCCTCCTTTTCACGCTGCTCTCGCTGCGCGATGGCAAGCTCGGCGGCAAACCAGTTGATGCTCCACCACAAACCGCCACAGAGGATGGAAAGAATGACGCAGTGGATATTGTACGTCGCGAGCAAGAGACAAAATAGGACGGTTTGGAGAGCGGCGAAGGAGGCATTCGCGGCCTTGAGGATGGTGGGCGTCGGGCCTGGGGTAAAAATGTCCTCCCAAAGCTTGACGACGAAGGATGACATGGTTGATGCTCTATCGCGGGGTCGTTATTGGCGGGGTTTTGTTGTTCAAAGTAGTGGACTATCGGAGGGAGGACTCTGGTATCTTGATCGCGTTGATGTTACGACTCTGTACGGTATGTAACGAGGGAAGACAAAGACCTTTCTGGTGTAATTCCTGGTTCGCAGTTGCAGGTTTTCTTCTTCTCAAGGATAGAGGCGGTCGCTGCCTGGCGACCACTCTATTTCGCTAATAGCGTAACTTGTACCAACCGGCTTTGTACGAGTGTTCTTTGTGACCCAGTTAAGCGAATCTATCCGTGAATAGGAGAGAATAGCCCTTCTTGAAGCAGTACTGTGATTGTTCGTTGAATATCGGGCTGGTGTGTCTTACAAGAGAGTGTACCTGCAATGACGACAGGTGGTTGGTTCCTAGCCCGTGGATGACCCAGATCGCGTGCCGGGCTTCTATTGGATTACATAAGGGCATCGTCTTTGAGACTGTTTTCAGCACGACCCCGTGATGAGAGTAACAATACAAATATGTCTGTGTTGCGTATTCCTGTTTTAGTTGTATGATGAGTTTGTTGGCCTTTTTCCTTGGGTCTTCTCTTGGTCCATGGATCCTAGGGTGTAGAACCTCATCCCTAGTAGTTAGTTTATTCGTATTAAGAGGGATATATGTATATTAACTGTAACTAACTAAGGTCTTGGGCCAGGTAGTCTAGCTAATATATAAGGTAAGTGCCTTAAGTACTTTTAATATTACCTTTTAGCTAGGCTATAAAAGTATTATAAATAAAGCTATTTATATAATAATAATTACCTTTTTTTTTATTTTCTTAGTATTTTTTATATTAATAATACTTATAAATTAAATTACTATATAAATTAACTATAAAGTTAATATATTAATACTTTTATTAATTTACTTACTATTATTTTACTTATATTA